GCTTCTCCTTGGGGATGTCTTGTAGGAAGTCAATCTTGCCAGCTGAAGCAGGGAACTGCTAAGGCAGCTGCACCCGGTGCGACCATCACAAAACGAGACCCGAGAACTAGAAAGGCGAGGCTCACCACCCATGTATCCCTCCGCCTTTCAATTAGCCCCACATGTGATTATCGGCCAGGCTGGCACAATTAACTAACTCACCTTTTTTTGGGTACCTGCCTCACCTTCTAGAACAGAGGTTTTCAACCTTCCTAATGCTGCCACCTTTTCATACTGCTCCTCATGGTAAGGTGACCAGATTTAAAGCGGGACACCATTGACCGGGGTGGGGGGAGGGTTCTTGATTAAAAATTTGGTCTATATGGACCAAATAGACTGTTCCCTAGCTTGTCCTACATTCTTTCCAAAAATCGGGACTTTTTTAAAATGCCAAAAATAGGGACTGTACCGCCAAAAGCGGGATGTCTGGTCACCTTACTCATGTGGTCATCCCCCAACCATCAGATTATTTTCGGTTGCTACTTCACTGTAAGTTTTCTATTGTTATGAATTGGGCGACCCCTGTGAAAGGGTTGCTTGACCCCCGAAGGGGTTGCGACCCACAGGTTGAGAACTGCTGCCCTAGAAGAACTGTGAGCCAGTCAGTGCAGCCCTCTTCAGCTGTCACCTGGTAGAGCTTGGCCAAGTGCTGGTCTGGTCAGGTGCGGGTGCAGCCCCTTAGCTCCCCGAGCACTGGGCTCCTCAGTGGGCCCCACCTCAGATCCCACCTGGGCAGAGTCCCCTCCTGCCTCCCTGCTCTGGTTGTTGAGGGACTCTGGTCGGGGCGGGGCACGGGTAGGTGAATAGGCTGGCAACTGGCTCACACCCCTCTGGTCCCAGCCTTGGTTGACGGACCACCAGCACTCCCACCGCATGCTTGAAGGAACCTCCGTCGCTGCAGAAGTGCCAGACATCCAGGAAGCTGGCCACTGGCCAGGCTCAGATGCCCAGCAGGTCGCTTTGCCTTCTGAAGGTGACTTGCGTGTGTGAGGCTGAAACCTCTGCGGAGAGGCTGGGCTCACTCCTTACCCGCCCTCCCTCTCTCCCCAGTCCATCTCCGCCATGAAGCTGATGCAGTTTCAGGGCATACAGCACAAGACCAGCTCGCCCATCTCCCTGCCTCCAGTCACGCACCTTGACCTCACGCCCAGCCCTGAAGTACCCCTGATGATCTTGAAGAGGAAGCTCATGGTCACCAATGACCTGCATGAGTCCAGGGAGCTCCTCAGCAAGGTCAATAGGCACCTGGAGGTAAGTAGAGGTCAAAGTGGTAACTCCCGGCTCCTGTGGTCTCTGTCTGCTGACCATCATCCATCGTGAGAAGGGCCAGGTGCCCGTGCATCCCTCTCAGTTCATGAGCCTATCTCCATGAGTCACCCCTCTGTGAGTTGGGAGCAAAGAGACGGGCCTCTCGCTCCCAGACCCCACCTAGAAGCACTCTCATTTCTCTGCGTAGTTAGTCGTCCCGTTTGCAGGAAGACCCTGAGTCCTAGAGCCCAAAAGCTTCCTCAAACTCGCCCGGGGTTCTCCTTGGCAGTGGCGGAGTTGGGCCTCCAGGGGCTTGTCGCTGGGTTTAGAGGCAGCCGGTGACTCTTGGGGTTCCAGCTCTGGGACCACAGGAGGGCATGAACAGGGCCACTGCACGGATGTGGCGTGAGCCTCTTCTTTCTGACAAAGCCAGCCCTGTACCTCAGGTCTCAGCGCAGTGGACGGTCCTGCACGCTCGGAGACCCCGCGGGGCTTTCTTGGGAAGATGAGAGATGGTGGGAGCCATGAGCGCTCCAATACCATGGACGGCCTTGTTTCAAGGCCCCCAGGTTCTCCGCCCTGCCATGGCCCAGCCTTGCCGCACACAGACCTGTTGTCGGGAAAGAGGGCATCTTGTGGCCTTGAGAGCCCACCGCCCCCTAGGACCCTCAGGCCCAACTCCTAGTCTCTCGCCCAGACGGCAGTGAGTCTGTTGATTTCAGACTCACAGGAAAACCCCAGCAGGCGAGGGGCAGGGCAGGGACTTGCGGTGAAATCAACATGAAGCAGTTTCCTTATGGGGAGAGTTTCCTCCCTGCCCTGTTATCTAACCATTTGATGACTTCCTGAACGGGATACCGCAGCAGCGTCTCGGACCCAGCTCTGCCACTGCACGGGCTTCGCGGCTCCCGCTCATTGCTTGGAGTTGGACAGCCGCCTGTGGGCACAGTGGTACCGTGTTGGGCTGCTCACCTCGAGGTCGGCAGTTCAAAAACCACCAGCCGCTCTGTGGGAGAAAGATGAGGCTTTCCACTCCATAAAGCGCTCCTGCCTGGGAAACCCACCGGGCAGGGCGCTGTGAGTTGGCATCGACTCGTTGGCTGTGAGTTTGGAAAGGATTCTGAAAAGCCGAGCGTTTTCTAGAGACAAATTTACTTATTGTTCATCGCCGGCGTCTGTTGTTAACTTCTTATGAGCAGAGAAGCAGCACTGCCTTGGCCGGCTCAGCGTTTCTCACGGACGTTTCAGAGCGCAGTCACTGTGTAGCCGTCCTCGGTTGCCTGGCCATGTTTTCCATCCCCGTCAGCTGCCTCCGAGTCTTGTCTTCAGGGCTCCAGGGGGGGCAGCGTTGAAATGAGGCGCCTCCCACGAGCATGTTTTCTTTCACAGGTGAGGTACCTCATGGAGAAGACCATGCAGAAGATCCTGTCCTTGCTGGTGACGTCCGAGGCCGAGCTGGAGCACGCCCTGTCCATGCGGGCGGAGCTCACACAGTACGACTGCTACCAGGAGGCCGCCATGTACTTCCGGACACACTGCTTCAACTGGCACTCCTCTACGGTGAGCCCAGAACGACCTGCCGCCCCCACCCCTCTGCAGCCCCTGGGCCTGGCCTCCACGGGGCTCACAGGTCATCGATTCCTCAGGGAAGTCCTGGGAGTGGGCGGTCCTAACTGACCAACCCATCACTCTCACCGCTGTTCAGGAGGCCAGGAGTTCAAGGTCAGGGTCGGCTCTGAGCAGGACAGTCTGGTTCCTCGCACTCTCCCAGTGGCGGGGCACCTGACTTTCTCGCGTGTGCTTCTGGTTTCTGTGCCTGGTCCGCTCCTTTTAGACCCCCAAAGTGATTGCCTGACAGCACACCATGCCCCACGTGGCCTGGGCAGCGTAAAGAAAGCCCTGTGCCCAGACAGGAGGGCGTCTGCTTGTGTATGGATTCAAATTCCACACCTACTATGGGGAGTCGCGGGTCAGTCCAGAACAGCCTCCTTGTAGACGGCTGAGGTCCACTCGGCGAGCGATGAGAACTGTGTTTGGAGGCTATTGGTGGCGTGTGGGGAAGGGCTGTCCACATCCACTGGACCTAAGTCCCGGCCCCAGGACTGGGTGGTTCTGCGGGTGGGACAGCAGGCCGAGTGTGTGGTTCAGCCCCCAGCCCTGTCCTGCTGGCTTCTCTTCACGCCCAAGTCTCTCCCTGCCAAGCCCTTAGCACTAGCGTCCCTCCTCCACCAGCCACCATGCTTTCCACGCCAACCCCTCCCCAAGGTCCCACCTCGGGGGTTGCAGATGGTCACGCCCGGGGGTCACTCGGAGGCCTCTGCTGACTGCCAGGGCTTGCTCTGCTCCATCTGGAGCCCGCCCTCAAAGCCACCAGCCACCTGTCGCTCTAGATGCAGGCGGCCCTGACTTCCGCCGCATCTGAGTTACAGGGAACTGCCTGTCCTTGTGTCACATCGTTGTTTTACGTCCCATCGTTGGTCCCGTGCACCACGTGCTGTGCTGCAGCCTGTGATTTGCTGATGTCCATTCTCACGCCAACCCCCAAAGACAGCGACCAGATTTAGAAAGATCTAGATAATCAAACCGCCACCACCGCCGGCACGCTGCTTCCCACAGCAGACCTGTGTGTGTGTTTTTCATGATCGAATCTCTCTGAGGACCCAGAAAGTCTGAGTGTCCATTCTCGTCTCCCATTATGTTTACTTTGAAGTCTAGTTATCGCAGATTGATATTGCCACGCCTGCCGGGTTTTTTGGAGGGGGGGTTGTCATTGGCCTGGTAGATTTTTGCCATCCTTTGACGGCTTTTGTCTGTGAGTGTGAGGTGTGTCTCTTGAAGGCAGCAGAGGGATGGGTCTTGTTTCCTAATCCAGTCTGCTGCTCTTTGTGTTCTGATGGGTGCACCTGGTCCATTGGCATTCACTGTTACTGGTGACACACATGGATTCGTTGCTGGAGACTGAAACCCTCTATGGGAGCAGACAGCCTCATCTTTCTCCCTCTGAGCCACTGGGGGCGTATGCACGGTCGCCCGAGCTCCGCTCACTACCACCAGGGCTCCTGACTGGTCACAGAAAGGCAGTAATACTGAAAACGGGGTGGGCAAAGTATCCTCCTTATGCCAGACCGACTTAGGATGGAGTGGGGAGCACAGAGTACAGGGTCCCCAGTAGAGTGACGAGCTGACCGAGTGGTGGGCGGCTGCAGTCCCGATTCCATGCTTTTTGGCGCTCTTTCTTCCAGTATGAGTATGCCCTGAGACATCTGTACGTGCTGGTCAACCTCTGTGAGAAGCCCCATCCCATTGACAGGTGAGTGAGTCCACTTTGGCAGGGCATGGGAAGGGTGAGGTATCCTTCACCTGTGTTCTAGATACACCTGCCCTCGGAATCCCGGCGCGCTGGGCCTTCCGTGGTGGTTGGCGGGGTGGGGTGGCTCCATCCGAGCACTTCCTGTTCTGTGCTGGACTGGGCCTGTCAGTCCGTCAGGGTTGGCCCGGCTCGCAAACACTTCCTGCTTGTCTCTTACAGAATCACGGCGGCCATGGACAAAGTGTGCCGGGGTCGCTACTGAAAAGCTGTCTTCGGGACGCTTTTCCGAGTGTGAACACCTCCGCCTAGATTGGGAGACCCACCTTCGATGGAAGAGGTGGCGCAGGAAGAGCCCCCTCCCGCCTGCCCCCAGCCCTCCTGGAGAATGCAGTTGGGCCCCGCTCTCTCCCCAGGTGGCTTGCTCACCTTAAATTGTATGCCCAGCCATGCTACCGGTCATGCATGACGCTCTGGACAACGACCCACCTGGGTGGGGACAGCTCTTGGCGGAGAAGCACACCGGCCTTTGAGGAGGCTCTGTGACTTGACCCGTTCGAAGGAGAAAGACGGTTACTTTGGGTTCCTGTCACCGGTGGAAGGAAGCGTCTTTGCTCCAAGAAAGCACAGAGAGGCGAGGGTGTTCCTGAAACCGGAGCAGAATCAATGTATGGAAGAGGGTCCTGCGCCCCCCGTGGAAACCTACTTTTAGAAAAGATGATTTATGATTGTGATTGCTTTTGTATCTTAGTCTACAATAATGGACAAGCCTTGAACAAATAAAGATTGGTCACTGAGCCCAGGGATTCCTGAGGCTGGTGTTGTGTCTGCCTCCTCCCCTGTCTGACGACTGCGCCACTCGGGGGCTCGGGCTCTCTGTACCATGAGGGCTTGTCAGCCTCCAGGCCGTGCTGCCTGCTGCCCCTCGGCCCTGCCGAGCCCTCCCTACTCCTCCCTCCATGCTCAACACTTTGCTCAGCTTATTTCTGAATGTCCCTCGATTTCCCACTTCCCCCTGCCCCTCATTGGGTCTGGTACAGCATGTGGGCACTCCTCCTTACACCCCTGGGCAGCAGGGCCCTTTGGTGGCCTTGTTTCTTTCGCCCCAGAGCTGTACACAGGGAGAGTTGCCCATGTTACATCTCTGCAGTGGAATTTTGTTTGGCAATAATAAAGACGCAGTTCTGCTATGACCCAGACGCACCCTGGAACCATCATGCCGAGTGAAAGAAATCACTGCCATCCAGATGATGCCGCCCCAGAGGGACTCCTTGGACACAGGAGAACTGCTTCTACTGGAAGTCTTTACTACGGGGCCGACAGCCTCTGCTTTCTCCTGCGGAGCGCTTGTGGGGTGTGAACACCTTGACCTTGACTTACCTTGCAGAGCCACTGGGGCTCCAGTCACAGGACGGCATAGGATACTAGGGGGGCGCTTCACAAAGTCGATAACAAAATGAAAGATGATGGCATTTTCCACGAACTTCGTGAAGCCACCTCATAATGTAGCCAAACCAGCTTGCACAGGCACCTTTTACACAGAAAACATCCGTGATAGCCAGGGACCAGAGCTGGCCTGACTGGCTTGGGTTCCCTCAGCGCCGGTGGGCTGGGCGGAGGTGGGTGAGCAGGTGGAAGGATGGCCTGCGGATGCAGTTCTGTGAGCCTCAGCCAGTGTAAACCCAAGTTTTAGAGGCGCGTGTGTGAGAGAGAGCGCGCGTGTGTGTGTGTGTGTGTGTGTGTGTGTGTGTGTACGCACGCATGCCATGCCCTGGGCAGGGACCCGGGGTGATGGGCCGGGGCACAGTCGGGGTCCCGCCTCTCCCTCCCCAGCCTGCAGGGACCCCTGCGTTCCCCACCCTGCCTCACTTTCCTGCGTCTCTGAGTTTCTCGCCATTTCTGGGGTGGGTCTCTCTAAACCCCGTGTCGGGCTGCCTGGTGCCTCTATTTCCTTCGCTGCCAGCCACTCTCCTCCTCTCCTCCCTTGTCCCATAATAGGTGAACAAAGATGGTCTAAAGAGGGAACCCCCTCCTTGGGGAGCCCCATCCTGACTTAGGGCCCACCCCACGCCCTGGCCTCTGGCCTGGGCCTCCAATCGCCTTCCTGCAGAGCCTGTGGAGTGGGGTGGAGTGGCAGGCAGACCAGAGGGCAGAGGCCCTAAAGGGGCCCAGGTGTCAGAGCCTGGGGGCTCCCCATCCCAATGACCCTCTGCAGATGGAGGCACTGACCTGTTTCTCTGGGCCTGCCACTGTGAGCCGGGCACTGGCGCTGCCTTAAAACTGCCAGGAGGGCCAAGGTGGGGGACAGGGGGCTAGCCTCAGCCTGCTCAGCGGAGATCACACTGCTTCTGTGACGTGTGTGTGTGTGTGTGTGTGTGTGTGTGTGTGTGTGTCCCTGTGAGGACCACATGGAGTGGCTGTCACCATGGACCTGGTTAGAGGTGCTGTTGGCACTGGTGACTCGGCCGGGTCCAGTTTCGGGGGCCCCAATGGGAGGCCTGCTCGATCAGAGCCTTTTCTCTAAATTTTGTGCCTTTGGGGGTAGGAGATGCACCCTAAAGCCTCTGCTGACTGGCTCTGTGTGACATTTCACCCTGACATGGAAACTGAGAGCCAGGCAGACCGTGGGTGGGTGCAGCCCCTGATCCACATAGCTGCCCTGTCCCAACACTGGTCGGGCCATTCTCTGTGTCTCAGCCGACTTGGATTGCTCATTCCTGGGACTCTGTGCAGGATCATCTGCTACCAAAGGCTCAGAAGGGCCAGTGCCCAAGCCCCTCCTGGTCACACAGAACTGCCTGGGTAGTGCCAGCCAGTCTACGGGGCTCAGAGAGGTCAGGCGGCCTTCTTGAGGGCTGGTTTTCTTGCTCAGAGTAGGCTCTGATATCTCCTATGCAGGGTCAGGTAGTAAGCAAATGCTGGGGCTGGAGCAGGGGTGGGGTGGGATGGCGGTGGAGGTGGGAATTAAATATCTAACCTCCTCAGGCTTCCCTGTGTCCCCGAAGCAGGACTCACACATGCCTCCTCCACCCCCCATCCTCCTTTATCAAGTCTCACGCCCACTGTTCCTTTCCACAGTGCTCGACTGCCATCATTCGCCCTAATGACCACACAGAGCTCACAGACAAAACACAACGATGGGGGTGTATTAGGGAAGTGTGTAGGTTACCCCAAGTTAGGATCGGTAAACAGTTAGGATACAGTTGTTGGTCCACAGCAACACTGCTCTTCAGCCAGCAGCCAAGTCTCTCTTAGGTCCTCAGCCCCTCAGCCACGTGGTCCCTTGACCTCTGCCTCTGTGGAGCAAGAAGCCTGCCCACTGCTCCGCCTCACAGTCCCATAGTCTCAGGAGCGCTGCTCCGCACTGTCTCACGGTCTCCAGGCCTCCGGCTCTAGTCCTGGTTTGGCTCCTTTGCTCTGTCCATGATCTCCATGCTGCAGCCTCTGGGGCCTCTGTCTCTTCCGACCGAGATCTCCAACACGCTCTTCCGATGGTCCCGGGATTTCTCTCTGAGTCTGAGGCGGCTCTTATCCGCAGGGGAATGGCTTTGATGGCGGTGTGGTTTTTGTCTATCCGTCGACTCTTGTTGTTGTTATTGTTAGGGGCTGTTGGGTTGATTCCAACTCATAGCCACCCGAGGGACAAAATAAGGGTCCTGCCCTTGTCACAAGTGTCCTTCTCTCTGAGCCCACTGTTGCAGCCACTGTGCCAGTCCATCTCATCGAGGGCCTCCCTCTTTCCCACGGTCCCTCCGGTTTACCAAGCATGACGTTCTCCTCCTCCTCCAGAGCCTGGTCTCTCCTGACAGCATGTCCCAACAATGCGAGAAGAAGTCTCGCCACCCTTGCCTCCCAAGCGTGTGCTGGCTGCACTTCTTCCAAGACCAACGCGTTGCTTCTCCTGGCGGTCCGTGGTGCCCTCACCATTCTTCACCAGCACCAGAGTTCAAAGACATCAGTTATTCTTTGGTCTTCCTTGTTCATTGTCCAGCTTGCATATGAGTATGAAGAGACTGGAAATACCATTGCTTGGATCAGGCACACCGCAGCCAGCAGACCACATGCCCCACGGAAACAAAGGGTGGCACTTGGTTCACCCCTCTCCTTAATCCTGCCTGCACCCTGTCCAGTTATACAGCAGAGACACTCGCTGATATCGAGTTGATCCCAACTCATAGTGACCCAATGGGACAGAGTAGAACTGTCCCCGGGGGTTTCTGAGACCGTCACTCTTTGGAGGCGTAGAGAGCCCCATCTTTCTCTCCCAGCGCAGCTGGTGAGTGCCACCTGCTGACCGTGCGGTTAGTCACCTCGCATGTAACCTCTGAGCCACCAGGGCTCCTCTGTGGCACACAGGGCCATATCAGCTCAGGTGGGGTGGGGGCAGGAGAGGCAAAAGAACAGGCCAACACAACAAAGGTACAAATGTGCTCGACACAATGGATGGACGGATGGATTGTGATAAGAGTTGTACGAGCCCCCAA